AAATGTAAGGATTGCATCAAAGTTGTACCGTGTCTGAGGTGATCTGGTTTGATAAACGGGGCATTGTTGGGCAGAAAGTTGCATAAGAAATCAAAGGATGCATTTTTTTTGGTGAAAAAGTCCAAACAAAGTCTACTGAGACTTTATTCGAACTGCAGCCAATTGACTTTGAACTCTAGAAAGGACACAGCTGTAACTTCTTGGTTGAAGTTGGGGTCATTGTCTGCTGTGAGAGATGGATTGGCACTGCGGTCGGAAAACATCCGCACAGGAAATGCAGCTGTGGAAAGTCTGAGTCTGTAAAGGCTGTTGTGAGTGACTGCACTGGCTACACAGCCAAGAGAGAAATATCTAACATGAGGGAGTGTCATCAGCCCATTAACAAGCCCCTCTTTAGTGTCTGTGGTTCTGGTGACTAAGTTTGACCGGAAGAGGGCAGCAGATCCGCTCCAGTGACCGGGTGCAGTACCGCATCCTGTCCTGTGGAGGCGACAGAGCGACACCTCACACGTTTGATTTCCGCACACGAAGAAGAGGAAACCCCACTTTGAAATGTTGTTGTCTCATGTGTCGAAGCAGCGAAAGTCCCGCTTTAAAGAGGTTTCTGAAGCTCTCTGACTTTTAAAAGATCCGTCAGCTGGCAGTGTTTTGGGTCGGTTGATGTTTTTACGTTTGATTTTAAACTGAGCTCCGCCTGTTTGTGAATGGCTGCGGCTAACTGTCGTTAGCTAACAGTGATGTCCTCGTCGTGGACGGAGCGCCAGGGACAGGTGGGAGACCTGGGACACCAGAGCAGAGAAGAGCTCCAAGAACTGCTGCTCCGGCAGGAGAAGATCCTCTCTAACAAGTAGGTTTAAGCCTCAGTCTGTGTCTGATATGTGAGAGGCTCAGAGTTGAACCGTGACTCAGTGGGACGCTTCAGTAACGTCTCTAAGTCCAGTTACATGACTCAGGATCATGACAGACGTTACTGCTGATTAAAGTGACTGTACCTGTAAAAAACAAACTAAAAGACTTCACTGTATTCATGGTGCAGAGCCTATAGTACCATGCTGTCAAGTACAAACACAGCTACTCTTAAAAGTTGAAATATCTGTTGACTGTAGCTTTAACGGTTTCTTCCCTGTGCTACATGGAAAACTACCATAAATATGCATAGATGTCCTTAAACAAACCAGTTTCAAACGTGACTGATACTATATACAAGCTCAAGAAAGGAGCCTTATCTTATAGACACAGACTACTGCAACTCCCACCTTTAGCTCTGTCATCCAATAGATTTGAAATCCCTGTTTAATAGTACACATAGTTTAGGCTGAACATGTTTATTTGGCTCATGTCTTTAGCCTCAGATGAAGACACAGTAGTGCTGAGATGTTAGTCTGTTTGCAAAATTACATTTGGGAATTAAACAGCAAGAAAAGATGCTGTCATGGAGCTGAGAAGAACCTGCTTCACATTTGGAGGAAGATGTTAAGTGTAATATATTTTATTTATGGGGAAAAAAAGAGACTTTGGTCAAAATATTCTGCACAACAAAGACGTAAAAGTTTGTCACATTAAAGTAAGAGTTAAACAAATGCAAGTCCTTTCATCGAGGTTAGTGAATAGTTACATGAGTGTGAAAATGAATCAGTTTGAATAATAATCACATGGGACAGATCTTAAGAGCAGCTCCGTCTTTATCATCAGCACAAAAAGAGTAAAAAATTCTGTTCACCTCTCCAGTGGAGTTCAAGAGAGATTTTCTATGTATTACTGTGAGGACATTTATTAGTGAAGCCAGCATCAGATGCATATTAAATAATTGTTTTTGAATATAGCATGCACTGATATTATTTGTGTTGTTTGCAGGAGGTTATTACAGACTCTTCCTGACAAAGGGAAAAAGATAAAAGAGTTTGCAGAGAAAGTGCGTCTTGCCATCGAGCACCACAGTGAAGAGGAGCGGAGACGGAGCTTGGTGTCCGCTGCCAGGACAGAGCTACAGTCCAAGTACCAGCAGGCTTTCACAAACCGACAACAACGTGCCGTCTCCACCGCGCCGGCAGCATCACACCAAAAGCGGCAGAATGAGGCCGCCGCAGGTGACGCCGTGCAGGAGAGGGAGACGTCACCTGTCTCGGCTCATGTGCAGGAAAACACCACTTTGGACGGGCAACAGGACCGGTTTGTCTCCAGAGCGGCTGCTGTTGAAACCATGGAGACGGCCGCCGCTGGGGCCTCTCTGAACTCTGATGAGACAAAAGAAGGAGACCTTGCGGAGGCCTTGGAAAGGGTCACAGTGTCTGAAACTAGTACTGGTTTCAGTAGCGAGTCCAAAGACCCATTAAACAGCAGGGCCAGAGACAATTACTTTCTCAGACAGCAGATACCAAAAAAGCCTCACTATGTAACTGTCCTGGAAAAGACAGAGACGCCTTCAGCTCCCAGGAAGCAAAAATTCAAACCAAACCAGTGAGTGGACTTTGTTTCGTGATTACCTTTTAGAACATTTATAGCAGAAACAATACTTTAGTCATAAGGCTGGTGTAACACAGTAATACAGTGGGCCGTTGTGTACTGTTTTGCTTTCTTTCTTTCTTGCTTCTTTCTTATTTGCAACTAACATCTTGTCAACTGCGTTTCCAGGCTGCCTCATAGAAATGACACCTCTCCATCAGGATCCTCGTCACCTGGTCAGTCCTCTGAAGGCTCATCGCCGATTTCTGCTCAGGCCAGGAGGGAGCGAGACAGGAAGCACCTGGATGACATCACTGCAGCCAAGCTCCCTCCTCTTCACCACAGTCCAGCCCAGCTTCTGTCTCTGGAGGAATCAGCCATCCTGGTGAAGGAACAAACCAAGAAGCAGCAGGTTAGTGCAGCACACATGTAGAAAATGACATTAAACTGACTGACAGCCTCAGACATGACCAAAAACACATGCAATCAGTGAATGAGTTAATAAGCCAGAGGTAGCGTCAACCCCCTAATTATGGATCAATAAAAGCATCAACCCTGAGCCACCACTGGATTGTCATTTATCAGCAAAACTGTATCGTTGATCGCAGAACTACAACATTCGTGCTGCTAAGTAGAGCTTACATTATGGTGCAACAAGGCAGGTTCAACTAGTTTGCTGGATAATCCTGCATTTTCCTTTGCAGGAAACCTCTAAGTCGGTACAACTGAACTCTTCTCATTCAAACAAGTGAGAGGGTGTCTATCACTCAGTGCTAAAGTTTAAGTATAGATTCATTTTATACAGTAAACTGATTACCTTCAAGTGTACATATGAGGTTATTTTTCTTTCAAAAACCAAATATATTTCCTGAACAGTAATAATTATTATTTTAGATCTTGTTTTTAAAATGTTGTTCATTGTTTACAAAGGGTATCGTAGTAGATTAAACTCTCAGTTTTAAAAATAAATATATTATTAGAGCAAAATTGTTTATTTATGTGGATGTAGAATCTCAGAGATGCCTGTGATCAGTTGTCAGTAGTCAACATCAGGTCCGTCCATCAGCTCTAGAGGGCAGCGTTCAGGCAGCGCAGACACTGAATCACTTCACATCCGAAACAGTGACTTCAGAGCCAAACGTCAAACAGTGAGCTGTTGACAACTCACGGAGGCTGCTAAGCTTATTATCAGTCATACTTTTGTTGAGAGTTTAATAGCTATGGCTGTGCTGCTTTATAATAATGTGCTTGTTTTCAGTCTACCAGCCTATTCATGTCAGCTTTTTCTCTGTCTTGTGTTTAATTTCAGGAGTTGCAGGCCAAGCTGGCAGCCCAGAAACTGTCTGAGGGACTGAAGATCTCTATGGGGAGCTACACTCCTGACGGTGGCCCCATGGCTGCCTACAGAGAGGTTCACGACGAAGGAGCCCAGCTCTCCTCAGAGGAAGACTGATCCTGGAAGGCCAGCTGGGGGAACCAGTGCGACCTTGGCCCTGAGGGAAAGAGGCTTTGGACCTTTGCGATCAGGACCCATCAAACAGGATTTTCGCTCCAAGGGCAAGAATTCTTAAGAGAGGAAAAGGGTCTTTGCATGGTGTGAAGGATTAGTTGGTATCCCAGACTCAGCTCAGGAAATTGAATGGCAGGTTGAGAAACTAGCTTACTTAATTGTCATGCAGTTCGAAGTGGGTTCAGCTGTTTCAGTGTCCGGCAGGAATAATAATATCTCCCACAGGAGCCTCAAGTGGTAAATTTGAAGCGTGTATTATGAGGCGATGTTTCTCATCAGTGTACTGAAGCTGATGGCGGCGCGGCTTCCTGAACCCGGGAGTGTCGTACTGTTTTGGTGTGTTAATAATTATATGCACTTAAAGCTCACGAGGAGGTGGAGCAGACTGTTTTAGCTCAATGTTCACAGCTTTGTCTGCAGATAGTTGCGTCAGTTTTAAATGTTACAGAATGTGTAACAGAACTGAATAAATACATCTGATTTCCCAAATGGTTGTGTTTGTGTAGCAATCCAGTTTTTCCCAAATTACAAACACGATGAATTCACCTGATCAACTTTTTAACAAGGATTTATTAGAGATATTCTTTAATTTGTCTTCACTGGCTGAATGACGACTTCGAGAAACTAGCATTTGAGTTACCAGATAATCTAGTCTCGGTTGCGAACAATCAAAATGCCAGTGGACATTTTGGATTTGCCATTGTGGAATATATGTTGCTGCTGTGCTGCTGTATAAAACACTCTCAGGTCATCGACGGTGTGTCTTACAATCTCACAATCTTACAATCTGTCAGCTGTAGCTGGTGTGATGTTTTTATTACAGCAGAGTCTAGAAGTATGAACGAAAAAAAAGTGGACCGAGCCAGCTGGAGATGGGAGTATGAGGCCTGAAGCAGGTATAGCCTGGCATGGAAACAGCTCAGCAACAGCATCAATTTGCAGTTCAAGCGTTTAAATTAATCTGTTTGGCTGCGATTGGTAAATTAGTTGTGGTAATGAAAAGAGAAACCACGTGATAATGTGTCATTCTCTGGGCTTCATACGCTTCTTAAGCATGAACTAAACAGATGAGCTAAAGTTTAAATAACTTTTGTCTGTATCAGGATGAGGAAATGTCAAATAGCTTCACATGAAAACTGCTCCTCATATGTTATCTGCTTTCTATAATCCTAATATTTTAAAACCCAGTGTCCTCTACACAGATTATTTTCTGAGTATTAAGTAGATGCAAGATATTATATCATTAGGCCTCCAGCTTTTTTTAAATTGTATTTATGTGCAAAATAAATCTGCTGGCTTGTATATACACACACATATATATACACATTTAAGTTTCTAGTGAAGCTGTGGTCAGCTGCAGGCACTGATACTCTAAAATCCTGCGAGATGTTATCAGGCAGGGATCCGTCACACACTTGATAAGATTAATGCAGGGTAGTGAAATATTAAGGCTTGATGGCTGAGACATCTGGACTGCATTTGGATCATGTTGTTGCTGGGAATGGCAAGCGATGATGGGACGGCAGCAGGCTAATGCAATATGGCAAATACCATTTCTCAACTTTGCTAATATGTGGTAGATAAGAAGTGCCAGCCACATTCAGCATCTTTCCAAACTGCCTTTCCCATCATCCGTCTTCCAAGTCTCACAGAGGACTGCGGGCCGTCCTAATTTTAAACAGCCTGATTTTGGGGGGGTTTTAATGAGGGCGAAATAAGGCACAGAGGCACCTTTTAGAGGGGAAATGAGGTTGGGTTCGTGCAGGTCAGAGTCTGGTGGTAGATGCCCCTTGATAACCTGCAGTAATTGTTGCTTGGTGGAAGATGTTAAAGAAAAAGAAAAAGAAAAAAAAAATGTGATTGCTGTGTATTTAGACACTGTATCTGATGGGCTCCAGAGCGGCCCCGTGGTGACGTCCAATAACAAATACATGAGCACGCTCCGCAGAGGATCCTCATTGTGCTGGGATTAATTACAGCCTACCTTGCTTACATAAATTCAAAGACTGTTACCAATTATGGGGCACATTTTTGCTGCAGCTTTCCTCTGTGGTATCTGGCGTCAAACCTGACTCTGAACGTATGTTGATGCTGTTGAGGTGGAACCGAGCACACTCCGTAGTCAAAGCTTCTTTCTTTTTTTTTTTTCTGTGCGTTGTCCATTGATGAGGAGGTTGTTTATACTTCAGCTTGAATCCCAGACCCCTTGACTCAGATTAATAAGCTCCTCGTGAAGTAGTCTGCAAGTGATTTGCTCCAACTCCGAGTCCGAAATCACACGTCCCGCGGGAATAGAAATAATTTGCTGTTTGGGAGGGGAAACTGGAATGTGATTTCAAAACTGCCTCTTCAAAGACCAGTCAGCTCAGCCTTAAATTAGATATACAGTATGATGTATAGACTGGCGTTAAACACGAGTTAGGCCCTCAGCAGAATGATTTGATTATATCTGCCAGGTTACAAAGTCTGAGGTCATGCTTTTTCCATTCTCTGATGTTTTTGTCATATTTTTTTCAGGGCACATGAGGAGATGAAATAATGCAGCGCACAGCAGCTTTCTGCAGATAAGGTTACAGCCTATCTTCCCATCCCAATTAGAACCAGCTCTCCCTCCTCTCGCTGCACCAAAACTGAATCGAGTGAAATCGACATGGCTCCAGGGATGGCAGCGCCGGTCTGTTAGTCCAAACTTTTTGATGGATTGCCATAAAATTATGCGCAGATCCCCAGAGGATGAATCCTAATAACTTTCTCTGGCAGAACCTTATTTATGATGAAACGTCTCAGCGTTCATTCATTCACGTGAAATGAGCCCGACTTCCTTTTTTTTCTCTAGCGACACCGTGAGGTTGAATTCGTCACCAGATGGATGTTTTCAATGAATCTCAACAAGTGGAAGACAGAGCCGCTCGTCGGTGTTTTTATCTCAAGCGTGAAACAAATGCTTCGTATGCAAATGAAATGAGCCGTGAGTGAGAAACAAGCAACTGTGCATGTGTGACTTGGCTGTGTTATGTGTGTGTTATGTGTGTGTGTGTGTTCTCTTGACAGGGCGATGAGGAAAGTAAATACTTTCCTGACAGGACAGAGGTGCTGAGGTCTCCAGTTATCTCACCATGAAACGTGTGTGTGAGAGGAAGCTCGCACATAGCTCATGTCATGGCTGTTGACTGCCTGAGGAAGCATGATATGTGGCTGCAACACTCATGAGAGTCCTGCAGCTGTCTCACCGCTAATGTGGACAGGAAAATATTCCCCTACTGGTGGGTTAATCTATTGGAGAAAAAAAAAAAGAAAGGGCCGAGGTGTCTGGAAGTGAATGCTGGTTGTAAAACACGGTCATGGGAATGATTTATTGCATTTTTACATTCTTATGGTTGTTTTCTTTTTCATTCTTTTGACATCCACTTGACGTGGGTAGTTTATTGCGCGCGAATGTGGTCAGAGAACAGAATTTCCTGAGATTGGGTGTCTGTTAAGTAGTGTGCACAGATACTGGCATTGCAGTGTGTTACAGTCAGATGTGATGCAGCTTGAAGTGCACCAGGTGTTTTGCAGAGATTCAGTATGTGTTGGTGTGGATGCTTCATTAATATCTCAGTAAATATCAACCTCACAGATGCCAACAGAGTCTAAGTGGCTCCTCTCATCAACGACGTGAACGCTGATTTTTTTTTTTTTACAGATATTTCCTAAACTGCACCATCCTGCTGCACCCAAATACTGTCTGCTGCCTCTGTGCACTTCTACTATTGTGACCAACTCTTGCTGCATATTTGCATTTATTACTAATCCCTGCACAGTATTAACATCTACAGTAATTTCTCCGCAAAGAGTCTTAAAAAAAAAAAAGCAGTTACACTATTTATGTTATTTATTATAGCTAAATAAATACCAAATGCAAGTTTTTTTGTTGTTGTTTTGATTAGTCTTCTTTCTTTTCGACAATCTGTGAACACACTGGAAGCCTGTGTGGCCGCTGGCAGCCGTATCCAGTGTGTGTTTTTGTTTTTACACATGGTAAACTGTTGAGTGTGAAGCTCTCAGCAGACCTGCCTTATTTCACACATTCAAATGCTGTTTGGGGTAAAGAAGCGACTCTGCGGCCTCAATAACGGCAGCCCACGTCTCGAGAGTCTTCTTCAAACCCCGTCCGCTCGTGTTGAATCGGTTTCAGAAGGTGAAATCAACCAGGAATTATCACTTTAACTTGATTTTCTTTGTGTGTCAGAAACAGAACATGTGCTTTTAATAATCGGCGCAGCACAATAAAACGCACATGCACTGTTATTTTATTATACACGCTGCTGTTCTGATTATAATACAGAGTTTGGTCCTTATTTTCCCCACCACCTCTTCCCTTTTTTTTCCCCTCCTTTTATTTTTTTTTGTTTTGCCAATTTACCTAATGTAAGAGCAGCAAAGCAGCCTGTGGAGTTTCTGTGAGATAAGAATGTCACAACACAAGCATTATGTGTGTTTCCTTTTCCTTGGAACAATGTTTACAGTTCAAAAGCCATAAAACTGACCACAAATGGAAAAGGCATGGTATAGCTGTAATGAGTTATCCTTGTGTAGTCACGTCTTGCAGCAGATGGACTGCGTGTTTATTTTAAGTCTGTGCCGGCAGTACTGGCGGGTCAGCACTGGATGGCAGTGGTGGATCTTTGGTCTCGGTCTCTGCGGCCTCGTGTTTTATTCTTATATCAAGTTTTCATGATTAATCTTTAAAAAAACTGTTGTTTTAGTGACACTGAGGCTTTACTTTTTTCTATGCATGTTGAGCTGCTCACCTACAACAAACTTTTATTGATTTGTAAAGACAGATCTCTGCAGGATCAGCAGCTAAAGAGCTAAAGTTACTATTTGATTCCAGGTAGTGAGTCTCTCAGAGGTGTGGTTCGTGTCCCAGGTGAGGCGGCGGCGGCGGCGCTGGCCTTCCACCTGGCTGCTCAACCTCAGCGCAGCTCTCAGCTACATCTCTGACTACAGCGGGGAAACTGTACAAATATGATCTGGATACATGTGCACTTAAAAGCACTCCCACAATCTCTGCTTGGAACGCTTTGCATAACAATCCTGAGGCACTAGAAAGAAAGAAAGAAAGAAAGAAAGAAAGGGCGGAGAGAGAGAGAGAGAGAGAGAGAGAGAGAGAGGAGGACCAGGAGGGGTGAAATGGGTTGAGGCCCGTGATGCGTGGTGTGGGCCAAGAAGCTGCCAGCATCCCAGCCGCTCCATGTCTGGCCTGGCACAGTATTAAGCAGGCTGTTTTGGGGCCTGTCAAAAGCTCATCACGGCAAGGAAGCCGTCTCTGTGGGGATGCTGCGGGGGTGCCAGGGCACGGCAGGGGGGAGAAACCAGAGCCCCTGCCCGGCAGCTTGGTCATAATGAGGAGGAAAATTCTTATTCTTGTATCCCCATTAATGTTACAACAACAATGAACTTTTGTCCAGCTTTTTTTTTTTTGTCAGGCATTTTTATACTTCACATT